GTTGGGAAATGAGAGAGTCGCTTTGGGGTAGGGGTTTGTGGAATGTGAGCTCATAGACATACTAGTAGAGATGCTAAGTAGGTCATTGAATATAGTAATATTTCTTTACATTTTTTTCATTAAGCAAGAGACATGCTTGTTAATTACAAAAATTTTTAAATTATGTTAAAATGCATAGTAAAATTTACCATCTTAACCATTTTAAGGTACAGTTCCTGGGCATTAAGCACATTCACATAGTTGTGCTACAATGACCACCATCATCCCATCTTGTAATTGAAAGTCTTTTTGTCTTACGAAGGTGAAACTTCCCATTAAACAATAACTCTGTCTTGACTTTGACTACTCTACGTACTTCATATAAGTGGAATTATACAGTATTTGTGTTTTTTAATTGGCTTCTTTCACTTAGCATAATAGCCTAGAGGTCTACCATGTTGTAGCATGCATCAGAATTTCCTTCCTTTCTAAGGCTGAATGACATTCCATTGTAAACACCTCTTGAGAGAGAGATTCTACAAAATGCCTGATCTTCAGAAGTGTCAAAGTCATGCAGGACAAGCAAAGACTGAGTAACTCACAGATTGTAGTGCACCAAGTGACACAATGAAAACTAAATGCAACATGATATCTTAGACTGGATCCTGAAACAAACAATAAAAAAAGATGTTTGTGGAAAAATTGATGAAATCCGTGGTTTAGTATTGTACTAATAACAAATTCTTGGTATTGATAAATATACCATGGCTTTGTAAGATGCTAAGGTTAGGAGCCTGGGTGTAAGTCTTCTGTAAATCTAAAATCATTTCAAAATACAATTGTTTTATTTTTTAAGGTATCTCTTTACTTCTGGACAATGTACTCCAAAAAAAGATTGTCTCCCCTAGAAAGCTACTTCTGACCTCTTAAATCCAAGACATCCTCTTGCTCCGAAGGATGGAGTCCATTAAGATCTTTTGAGCTACAGACTTGGTGCAGTTGGGAGAGACATTATGGATGGATGGGGCAGTATAGACATGGCCATAGCAAGGCCATAAAGATGTGATCTGGGGTCTTGGATACCATGGCAAGAGATTAGACCTGAAGAAGCAGAGAACTGAGTGGACCTTGCCTTAGGATGGATGGCCAAAAAGTAAGTCCAGCCTTAAAATGTAAAAGAGCCATTCAAGGATGATTTGGCAAAACACAAGAGTCCAACACAAAGTTTTGCAAATAGGAGACAAAGTTATCTTAAACCTGTCAGAAGTATTACCTGCCACTCTCAAGTGTCCTACAAAAGAAGACACAAATGAAAGGCCATAGGAGCAAGCTCTTCAGTTGGAATAGGAAGACTTATATAGTCAAAGATGATACTGGATTAATTGAGAATATCTGAGAAGCCGCTGAAGTTATCATATGTCTAGACATTCTTTATAGGAAATAAGACCCAGAAAAGCGACTAACCCAAAGACAAAGGAATTCAAAATGGTTAGGGCTAGTGTCTAAAAAAGATTACCAATCACTAAAAGAAAAAGTATTTAAATAAGACCCCTCCTCTATGCTAATATAATGTGACTAGCTATATCTGTGCCCAAGATAACAGTTTAATCATTCCTTCTGGTTCTCCTTGGGAAGTTGGAACCAAAAAGCCTCTATAGTTAATATAAATTTTCTTGAATGGGTGGACCATCTGGTTACAATTTCTGTTTCAATTATCTCTTATGCAACTGGAATCCAAATAAGGACTGTTTCCAAATGTGAGTAGGCTGAGTCAGTCATAAACAAGTAAAAAGAAGTTTAACTTTTTATTGCTAGTATCCAAGATGTAAGAAGATAAAGTATTTAATGAAATGGTGCTGATTTTAGGTAAACTCCCATTATCTTATGTGGTCAGCTAACTTGTACAGGGCAAGAAAGGAAATATTTTTGGCTTTGCAGCCATGTTTGGTCTCTGCTGCGTATTTGTCATTGCTTAAAAGAAAAACCCAAAAACATTTAAGAATGTGTTTTCTAGAGCCATCACATTGAGGACTACATTGCCAACAAATCTGCTCTACTGGTCAGTACAGTAGGAGTTGGAAAAAAGAAAAAAACATGCTAGGCAAAGAACTTGTGTCAAGATCAGGACTCAGATACATTAGTGTGGATGATTTAGCCCAAGAAGGTCAGTTATATCATGGCTATGATGAAGGGTATAATTGTCCCATTTTAGATGAAGATAGAGTAGTTGATGAGTTAAAAAACCAAATGAATAAAGGTGCAATTATTGTTGATTACCACAGTTGTGATTTCTTCCATGAACTCTTGTTTCATATAATTTTTGTGCTGAAAATAGATAACAGCATATTGTACAAAGGACTTGAAACAAGTGGTTATAATGAGAAGAAACTAAAAGTTTCAATGTGAAACTTGTCGAGTTCTTTATGAAGAGGCAGTGGCATCCTGCAAGGAAGAAATAGTGCATCAGTTGCCTAGCAACAAACCAGAAGATCTAGAGGATAATATCAATCAGATATTTAAATGGATTGAACAGTGGATCAAAGATTAGAGCTTTTGACTTGCAAAACTGGCCTCTTTATAATTACTCTTAATATTTCTCTTCCCACATCATATAAATTGTCCAATTATCAGTAAAACTATTTTAAATTAAAATTGTGCTGCAGATCTAGTAGGTAAATAGTATAAAGATTTATGTTTGGGTTTTTTTTTTTTTTTCATGAGAAAGCTGAACCTCAATCATAATGAATATAATGTTATTAAAAATTGAGAATAAAAACTGTGATTGTTTAATACTTCAATTGCTAAAAAATAATCTGACCAAATGGGTGGACGGATATCTTTTAATATTATTACAGAAGAAAATGAACATGATCTCTTAAAATAAAACTAAAGTCTAAAGATTAAAGAAAAAGAATGTGTTTTCTGTCTTTTACCGTATTTTCATGCTTTGCATTAGTTTGAAGACTGATTTTATCCAGTAATCTCATGAGGGTTCTGGCTATGGATTTATTGTATGAACAAAAGATTTATAATCATAATTTTAATGGATTCATAAGAAAATGGAATTTGTAGTTCATCTCTTACTGCTGGCTTTTCAGTACATTCCTGTGAGATAGTTTCCAACAAATATGACACTTGTGAAACTCATACTTACCTCAAAGTTTATTACTAGAAATTAAGCACCTAGGTTTCAATTTAAATTAACACATTTTTTTCTAAATATGCTAAATATCTTTTAATAGTAAAAGTGATGATCTGTTTTTTGAGATTCAGTTTAATTTGTTTCCTTATTTAACCCATTAGCTGCCTACTTTTTATAGTTTTGTTGCTATAAATTGTCTCTAAAGTTGCATTCTTGCTTTTATGGAGTCTCTCTCCCTTTTTTTGGTGGGGGGGGCACATTACAGCTTCTGTCTCTGATTCTGTAGGTGGGCTGTGGTTTTTCTCTGTGTCTGCGCGAGGCCATCCTTCACTAGATTCCAGCAGGTGTCCTGTAGGATCACCAAAACATTCTTGGGATCACTGTGGAACAGACGTCCTCAGGCCCCTAAAAGCATAACTAACTAGTTGGATGATACACTGCAGATTTTAGGGATATATTTTGCCTACTTCACACAGCTTTCCTGAGAAGGTAGATAAGAGCACACATTTAAATACATGAGCTTTTATTTCTTCTGTTTACAATTTTAGTAATAGGCTGTGAACTAATTTTCCCCAAATTTTACATTCAAAGCCTTTGTCACATTTGGCTAAGTAATGCTTAATCCAGCAGGCAGCCCACTTTAGCAGAATGCTGTCTGATGAAAACACAGTACATTTCCTTCAGCTCTGGCTCTCTCAGAACGTCTCGGACAATACTTGGAACTCTTAATATCTTCTAAAATCTGTTTTACCAAGATAAATTTTAAAGGAGTCAAAGGCAAGAAAGCAGTACTGTGGTTTTTAATCAATATTATTTAACAATCAATTGAAATAAAAGGGATTTTTTTCTCAATAGAAAGTTGATTGGGTTTTATTAGCTTTTCTTGTTTTGACTAATAATGCTTTTTATCACTAATAGTTCTTTTTTTTATAGATACTTGGATTCTGTTAAAATGAAACTCTTTGTTTCTTAACCAAATCATAGTTTCTTAAATGGCATACTCTTATTTAGTGATAATGAATTCATTGGTAGAAATTTATTTTCTCCTATGCAACACCCAATTTGTTGTTAATATCACCATGTCAACTAGAAGAAAGAGAAATTTAATATGAGTATAAAGAAAAAACATTGGCATATGATTTCTTTACAACTATCTTAAGTTCAACATTTAACTTCTAAAAAATTTTTCTATTTTTTATCTATCATGATGTACTTCAGTGTTTTAAAGTATATTTTGGGGTTTTGAGTTATAAATATAAGACAGTGTTATATACATTATCTCACCATTCTTTCTTGGAGGAGCAAACATGGGTATTAGCTTATGCTATACACTAATTTGGAATCTGGGTTAGCTAGTGAGTGGGGAGGGGGTACGTGTGTAGTTATTCATTTGTAATCGAGCCATTCTGGCCATTCTCAACTTACTTAGATCAGCTGTCAGGCTGGTGCTTTCCTGCTTTGTTCTTTTGAGTTGGACTGGGTTCTGGAAAGGAACGCTTTTAACAGATTAGTGCTGAGGCCCTTCAGTCCTCTCCTTTGCCTGCTTCGTCTCTATCATAGCAGCTGCATTATGCCCTTTTCATGGCCCTGCAAGGGAAGGAGAGGGGGAGAGAAGAGTGTGCCCCTATGTGTGCACGTGGACGCACGCACAGCAATCTCTGTCAGTATGCATTATAAGCTTTCTCAAGCACAGGGAATGAGCACTTTCCCCGGAAAACTCCAATTTGTCAAGGCCAGCACACATGGGAAAAGTATTTCTATTGTTAGTCTTGTAACTGTGATTGTTTTTGTTTGATGGGATCAGAAGAAATTTAAATCATGAGACATAGTTGTACCCTGCCTCTGCATTTACCTGCCCTTTCTTTTCGAACTCTTTCAGGCAGCAGTACCTGTCCAAAGATCACCGTAGTTCCACTCTCTGTGAAAAGCAGCACAACCACACTGATTGATCAGCATGTATCTGATGAAGAGGCTCAGGGAATAAATGGAAAAACGCCAGCAAAACACTCAGCTGCAAATCCAAAGCCACAAGGTATGCTGATCAGGGTTCTTTGAACAGGTTGGGCACTTTGTTCATTAGTGAAGGCTACCTAGAAGAATGACGACCACTAAGGAAGAGTTTTAAGCTATACATTTATACAATTCCCATTGGAGAAATTGGGTGCATTTATTTTTTCAGGAGAAAAGTCATTCTGTGAACCTTCTCAGACAGAGTTGGGTATTTGTTCTGCTCCTAAACAGCTTGTACATTTGTCTATCATGTTTCTTTTCATGTTTCAGAAATTGCATGCATGTCCCCGTAAGGGGACTGTGGTCTGTTCATGCATTATGCCCAACTTAGCACAGGGCCTAACTTACTGTTTGCATAACTGTGTAACAAAGGAATGTGTTTAGGAATTCTATCAGCAGTTGTTATGATTTGCTAGATGTCCTAGGATCTGTAGAACAGATCCTTCTAAAACAGTACTTAATGTACTTAGTAAGAAGGTGATTTTTACTATATTAAGGAGCCAGGGCTTGAAAACCCTCCTTAGTAAAGTCATCCATAGAAATTAAAAATAAATGGTTCAAGAATTGAGTAGCCAACCAGTGGTAAAACAATTATAATGACGAATTTGTTTAGTGACCATTTCCTTTTACAAATACATTTCTAGTGAACTGGGTATTAACTTTGAGAAGCACACAATTATAATTTTGATGATGTAATATTAAGCTAAGCTCCATTATGGTCTAATGTATAGTTTCTTTCTAACAGATTTTTATTTACACTGAATGATCGACATTCAGCCAAAAAACAAACTGGGCATTTGTAGAATTACTATTCATTGGAAAAATCATCAATTTCTATTTGGTTTATTTTGTATTTACTTTTGTCTCTTTCCTGTTCTTGTAAAGAAAAAAATGTTTTATAGAGAATGCATTGTGAAAGAGTGATGGTATTCTTTAAAGTTCTTATGTTTTAAGGATTTCTGAAGGAGACCCTTAAGGAGGATTTAAAATGGAGTCTTCCAATTATGGAATATTTTTCTATTGTTTTCACTATTCTCACAGTTGGTGGTGGTATGAAGTATGGCTATAAAGCAAGTTAAAAAAAAATGGGTGATTCAAGTGAATAGACTGTTTATAACCTATTCTTTTGGCCATACTCATCCCTATAACAGTGATGTGAATATGAACATAAAAATCTTTGATCATGATTTAATACAGCCATTTATTTGCAAAGAGAAAAATTCCATCTTGCTTACTAAACCTGAACTGACAAAGATTAAATTGGGTAAGAATATAAAAAATGAATATAATTTAATTTTATGTAATTGCCCAGATCAAAAGCAAGAATTTCATTATTTATAAAGCCTTTTTTGGAAGCATCACTGCATTACTTCATTGTCTTTCATAGTTCACTGAGATAAATTATAGCAGTGTCCTTCCTGAGCTACTGTGTGCTGAAATAATCATATTCCTTAGGGAAGACAACATTTAACCTTGTTTTTGCTATTTGTAGTTTTATGTAAGTCAATGTATTGCTACTTAAATACATATTTACTTCCTATTTTGAATGTGCATTAATATATAGTGTTATATAACTCCAAATACAGTCATGTGCTGCTGATGATGGGCAAACATCCTGAGAAGTGCATTAGGTGATTTCATTGTTTTGCAAACACTGTAGACTGTGCTTAGACAAACCTAGATGCTCTATCTAGCCCACTACACACCTAGGCTCTATGGTACAGCCTATTGCTCGTAGGCTACAGGTCTGTACAGCATGTTACTGCACAAAGCAGCATGAGATTAAATCAAGCACAAGGGAAAATGATACAGTGAAGAGACACGGCAAACAGAAGTGTGAGGCTACTGCCTGTAGCATATCATGGCATACTGTTTTTTTCCTGTTGTTTTATGGCATACTGTTTTACAGAAACTTTTTTATAAGCATAAAGAGCATACTCTAACATAATGATAGAAAGTATAGTAAGTAAATACATAAACCAGTAACAGTTGTTTATTATCATTACCAAGTATTACGTACTGTACATAATTGCATGTGCTGTGCTTCATATAACTGACAGCGCAATAGGTTTGTTTACACCAGCATCACCGATGATGGCTACAGTCACTAGATAATAGGAATTTTTCAGCTCCATTTTAATCTTTTTTAAAATAAGTATTTTATTTATTTCTTAGAGAAAGGGAGGGAGAAAGGGAGAAAAATATCAACATGCAAGAGAAATATCAATTGGTTGCCTCCTGCACACCCCCAAATGGGGACCTGGCCGCAACCCAGGTACGTGCCCCAACCAGGAATCAAACTGGCAACCTTTCAGTTTGCAGAGTATGTCCAACCCACTGAGCCACACCAGCCAGGACATCCATTATAATCTTAAAAGGAACACAGTTGTATATTTGGTCCCTTATTGAGCAATACGTAGTTATACTCTTCGTGACTGTACTCAGTAAATTGCATAAAGTACTTTATACTTCTTTTAAAAAATATTCTCACTCATTTTGGTGCTTCCCAGCCCCACCACCCAAGTTAAAATTTTAACCCCACCCTCAACTCTGACATTTCATATTTCTCCATCCCAACTTTCTTTTCCCTCATTCATTACAATCTGACCTACTCTGTAGTTTACTCATCCATGTTGAATTTGTTTCCTGCCTTTTACAGTATTGCATTCCCCGTGCCCACCACATAGCATAGCAGGTCTTCAAAATACTTGTTGAATGAATCCCTGCTTCATGTTTCCTCCACTTTCTTTGCTTCTGCTGTTTTTTTGTTTACAATTTACAATGTGTGCCACTTAGAGACTAACATCCCTGAAGTGAGAATATATCTTAGTATTGTGAGATCAGCTGCCAAATAGATTGGGCACTATTTATTGATTTACTGATCAGTAATCAGTGTTCCCCACCCTCTAGTGAAAGGAAAGCACTTTTCATTTCTCCGAACCCTTAAGAACATCTGGGTCCCCCAGGCTCAGAAGGGAAGGGGTGCTAATGGGCACTTCCTATGCAGATGAAGGGATTATCACACCTGTTACCGAACAGAGTGTGATTCGGCTGCCTACTGCCAAACACAGGCATAAAACAGAGATTAGTGGGGAAAGAAAAAGGTCTTTATTAAAATGCTGCCCAATTTGGAGAAGCAGCGGGGGCTCCATGACTCCAGGCCAATCTCTTCCGCAACACACGGAAAGAATCCAGCCACCCCCAGAACCAGAGTCCTTGTCCAGATACCCCGCTCCATTCTTATCTGTCCTTCTGGGGCCCAAAGCTACTTGCGCCCTTGGGGCCGCGTCTATGCGCTGATCTCAGAGCGAAAGAAGGTGGGGGCGGCCCTTGGGGCATGTGTCCCCAGCGCACGGCCCAGCGCGTGGGACTTGCCCTTGGCGTGAGCTGACCCCCGACCCAGGCAAGTGAAGGGCAACGGAAGCGGGTGAAAAAGGTCCGTATCTCCACCCGCCCTCTGTTTTAATCTTGGCCCCAAAGTTCCAGGAGCGCCGGAAAGCGTCTGCTTCCCGGCCAATCCAGGCTGGGCTGGCAGGTCTGCACCTCCCCCTGACCTCTGAGCAGGGCTTTTCCCTTCTTCCATCATGCTCCTCAGGCTGGGCAGCATCTCTGTGCAGGGTGGTTGGGGCAACGCTTTGGTTGTGGTTTTATTATTATTTACCTGGGGGTATGGAAATCTATCACAAGCAGCTTATGTGGTTTTGTTTCTTGCGATCCCTTCCTCACTCAAGAGGAACACAGGCTTGCCTCTGCTGCCTCGGGGATCCCTCCCTGCTCCCCAGCGATCTGGCCAGATCCCTTTGTATCATACTGATACCTGTGTTTTTACTATATTGCAAATCCCTTACAAGTTATGAATGGTGAGGCTGCTGAAGTTTACAGATGCATTATGTAATTTTAATTTAATTGAAGACTCAGTGGTTCTCAACTGGAGACAATCCCCACCCCCCGTTCGCTCCCCCCCCCCATTGGTATTGTCTGGAGACTTCTTTTGTTTGGTATAACTTGTGGGAGTTGCAACTGGCATCTACTAAACAGAGGCCAGGGATGCTTCTCAACATCCTACAAGACACGACAGACCTCCCATCTCCGCCCCAAAGAATTATCCAACTTGAAATGTCAATAGTTTGTGAAACTCTGACCTAGATCCTAGAAACAGCTAATTAAAACTTGTTTGTTTCTCCTGTGGAATGCTAATAAGATTGTAGCTATAATTTATTTTGGTGATTTTTAAAAGTAGAAACAATATTGAAGAACTTTATTGTGGTGTTTATGTAGTGATGTGTCTGGAACAACATCAGGTTTAAGTTTATGTTTATTAATTACCAGCAAGTAAATATTTAAAAGAATTAGTTTTTAAAAGGATAAAAGAGCTGAATTTTACATTTGAGATTAGATAAGCTTGCATTAGAATCTAAACTGGAGCCTGTAGATTTAAAAATGGATTCCTTCAATAGTTTGGGCTTGTTTTCCCTCAGTCTTGGAAAACACCCTAAGGCCTTGGAAAACAATGGTTTATTCAATTCATACCAATCCTACCAGTCAAGCAAATAAATTACAGAACAACTTCAAATGTAAGCCTTTCCTCTTGCTCACCACTTTTAATATTGGCCTATTTCCTGCTATGCTAGATATGGCTCAAAATAACCTTCTTAGCAATTAAAGCTAATAGCTCTTTTTCTCTTAAGAGCTTTGATCCACAATATTCTCCATATTTAATTATTTTGATAAAACCCATATATTGTCACTTCTTCATCATTAAACCTAAATGTTTGAAAATATTTCATGGCCTTGGAAAGCCCCATTGTTTGAATAATTTAAGTATATGTAAAGTACTCAAACCTATTTTACTTCTAAAGTAAAGCATTCTATGTGGAATATTTAATTTTTAAGGTATAATGTTATAAATTTATAGTCTATTAATATAGAGTCAGTTATTGTTTTCCATAGTAAAACAAAAATTGAAATGTAGTGGGCATCCCCAAACTTAAACTGCAATTAGTGTCTTTCATTCTTAATAATTACTTTGCATAGTTGGAAGTATTTTAATAATTAAATTGTTTTGTTCTCTTTACTGTCTGTAAAAAGGGCTGTAATAGATTCCATTTTATTTCTAGTCACCTAGATATTTCAAACTTAGCTTCTCCAAAACTGTTATTGATTCGTCTTCCAAAAATTGCTCTACCTTGCCCTGGCCCAGTTGCTCAGTTGGTTGGAGCTTCATCCTGTACACCAAAAGATTGGATTTGATCCTTGGTCAGGGCACATACCTAGGTTGTGGGTTCAGTCCCTGGTCAGGGCATGTATGGAGGCAAAGGATCAATGTTTCTCTCTCATATTGATGTTTCTCTCTCTCCTCTCTCTCTCTTACTCTCTCTCTCCCTCTCCTCCTTTCTCTTTAAAATCAATAAAAACATCCTCTGCTTGTGTGTTAGTTGACAATTCCATCCTTCCAGTTATTTAGGTCCCTGACTCCTTGCTTTTTCTCTCTTACGTCACACTTAATCTTTCAGAAAATCGACTTTTAACTGAAATTCAACTCTTTCTCACTCTCTCCTCCTAAGCACCATTGTCTCCTGCCTGAATTTTTACAGTAGCCGCCTAACTCTTCTACCTGCCTCCCCTGCATTCTCAACACCGCAGCCAGAGTGGGGCTGTTGAAATTTGCCATATGTCACTCCAGTGGTCAGAACTCTTCAGTGACTTCTCATTTCACTCATTTCAAAACCTGTGCAAGGTTGTGCGGTCTCAGGCCCTCCCTCTGACCCCAATAACCTGCTCTTGTGGGCTTACTGCTTTGGGTCCGGTCACGTTGGCCTCTATTGGTCTCTAGCTTTTGCTTTATGCGATGGAATGCCCTTCCTCAAATAACTCCTGTAACTTCATCAAGTCTTAGATAATTTCTCAGAGAGGCCCACTTTACACTCCGTACTTAATACTACAATATGCCCCTCCCACTCCCTATTCTCCAAATCCCTTCTATCTTATTATTTTAAGCCCTCCCCCCTTTTTTCTTAATACTTACCACCTTCTGATATATCCTTTACTTACCATTTTTTTTTGTTTCATGTTTTTCCTTTTGCTCATTGATATGATAAAGTGCACAGAGCTTAATTGGTATTCAATAAATATTTGTTGAATTAATTAAAAAGTAAACATTAATAAAAACTTGTACAGTAATGATGTATAAGATTTCTCTAGGATATATATTTTGGAAATGTTGAGTTCTTAATGGTTGTATTAATTTATACTTTCTCTCAAAACGTATGAGACTTCACATTGCATCATATCCTCACTGACACTTGGTATTGTCAGATTTAAAACTTTTGGTTAATCTGATGGGGTTGAAGGAGTATCGTATGGTGGATTTAATTTGCATTTCCCTGATTATTAATGAGGTGGAACACTGCTTTTCCTCTTTACATCCTTTGGGCTACCAGGGGAAGAAGTAAGTTAAGTTTTAGTCATAATGAACTGGAGGTGTTGATAGGACACCTAGGAGATGTTCAGAAAACATTTCAAACTGTTTACACCCTTTGGAGTATAAGAGAAAGATCAGAAATGCTGAGAGAGAGATGGAAAGAGCAGTTATCTTCCCTTTTTATTTCTTTTGTATGCATTATTTTCCTCTAAAACAGAGTTTCTGACACTTTAGATATTCACATACCATTCTGAAATTTTTGTATCATTTGTGCTCTTTTATTTAAAATGTCTATATTTATGCCCTGATGGGTGTGGCTCAATTGGTTGGGTGTCATCCTGCAAAGTGAAAGGTCACCGGTTTGATTCCCAGTCAGGGCACATGACTGGGTTGCAGTTTCGGTCCCTGGTAGGGGCACGTACAAGAGGCAACAGATCTATGTTTTTCTCTCACATTGATGTTTCTCTCCCTCCCTTTCTCTTTCTCTCTGTCGAATGAATGAATGAATGAATGAATATATTTACTGATATACTGTACATTTGGATTATCTCCCTTGCTAAAGTAGATGCCTCCTCTGTACTTCTAAAATAACTGTACCCAATGCCCATGTTTATCAACATCAGTCTCCTCTCGAGACTATGAGCTCCTTGATGACACAGTTAATTAGTTCCTTCATGTGTTCCACAAATGTGCCACAGCACGATGCAGATAGTTGCTGGGAATGCAGCTGTGATCAAAGCGGACGTGCTCCCGCCTTACAGAACTCCAGCATTGTGAAGGAGAGAGCTTCACATCTGTAATGTATTTAATATTTTACTGCTGGTCTATCCTTTAATATTGCTTACTACTAATTAATAAGCATATAATAATGATCAGCACTAGGGGGAAAGTGCAGATTGTTAGGAAACCATTTAAAAGACAGGCGTAACTGAGATGGGAAAGGTCAGTAGAGTCATCTCTGAGAACCTGATTGGCCGATAGTTACTTTATTTGAAACTTTCAAGCATCTACCAATGACTGGCACATAATAAATAAGAAACATTTACCAGTATACTCTAGATTAGGATGAGTTATTTTATAACAACCTTTGCAAACAGAATGATGAAGAACGTATTTGCTTCCTTCTTTGAATATTCTAGTTATGAATGTTGAAATTACTCCTAATGTTAAAATTTTTTCTTTTTTTGAGTGGAATCTTGCCCTGGTGTACTATCTTGGTACATATTTTTCTTACACCGGAAATTTTTCCTTAGGATTAACAAATATCACACTTACAGTACCTATTGGGAAACCCCCTCCTTCTCAATAGGTACTATATTAATCCTCCCCAAGCATGTCTTGGAAAATAATATCACTTTTATAAATAGAAGCATGTCATTTTTCCATTGGGATTTTCTTCTCATTTGCATTGAAGACAATGAGATGAATTAATTGTTATACCTGTAGCTCACTGTGATATACATTTTTTTCTTCCTCTGTAAGGATTGGTAACTGGCACAGAAGTGATGAGATCTAGGCCAGTGAACATCAGGCAACCAGCCGTAAACTGAGTTTATAAAAGAGAGGAGATGAGTGAAAACCAGCGTTAACCTGCTCGGGGGAAATGGGGCATGGAATTAGGGAGAGACATGAAGTTAAGAGACAGGTTTGGGGTTTTTTTGTGTGTGTTTTTTGAGGATAAGATTCTATTTGATTTGTTAAAAACCAGCTATAGAAAAACACATACATGTTATAACCTTTTATCCAGAATGTAAATTTAGCTCTTATGGCATAGTACATTTATTATCTACAGAGTTCCTCATCTGTTAGGGGAATATCTGTAGATATTAGTATATCAGGAAATGATCTGTTCCTATTCTATTAATTGAATGAAGGGATAACTGTACGCAAATGATTTGTGCTAAGTTGATGCAATCCATCTATTAATGTAGCAGACAATAATAAGAGAACTTCTCTATCCCCCTTTGCTGGACTTATGATGAGGGGCAATGCTGATAATGGAAGGAGCCGGAGTCTGGACACGAGTCATAAAATCAGATTAGCCTTGTTACCCCAGGCCTGTCACTTAATCTCTCTAAGCCTTCATGGATTAAGAGATGAATATAGGTACCTCAGAGGACTGTAAAGTTAAAAAAAAAAAAGTTTATCTAAGATCAAATGCGATAAGGTACTTCTGTTAAATGGGAAGATGCTATAGTAACTGCAACATTACTGTTTGTTGTTTTGTTGGCTTTTATGTTTAACTTACTAGGTCTGGATTCTGGTGTATCTGTTATTCATTCTGTTGTTAAAAATGTGTTTTGCAGCAATAAGTGTATCTCTAGAAATTACTTTCAAATTTAACACTTTATTTTCTCTGATTAGATGAGCAACTGCTATGTTATCTCTAATGAGGTTGGAATGCCATAGCCCTCTGTAGATCCCTAGGTGTTTAATAACACCATGTTTAAAGTGACTTAATATTCCAGAGCCACTGGAATCTTGAAGATAAAATTTCCACAGGACACAGAGCGAATGTCCAATATAGATGAGGGCCCCTTGGTTAAGTTTCCTTACAAACTTGACAGACCTCTTTACAAAAGTTTGGTAACACTAAAGTTTTGTATGACCAGGACACCAGAATTTTTGTTGTTGTTAAGGAAATACTATTAATTCTTTTTCCACAGTGCCTCCAAAGCCATTACACCTGCAGAATCCACCTCTGTCCAATATACACCAGGCCCACAGGCAGAAAGCTTTGTCTAGTGCAGCACCCAGGATGGAGGAAGTTAAGCCTGCCTCTGCTTCCTGTGTCTCAAAAGAAAAATCCAATAAGATATCAGATCTCATCAGTCGCTTTGAAGGAGGCAGGTAAGAGCTCATTTATGATGGGAGAAGGCCGAGGGGAGACAAAAGCCCTGTATTGAAAAAGATGATAGAGTTCTTAGTTTTCGAAATCAAACAGATATCTCCTTCCAATAGGTTTGGTAGGCCTTTAGAAAGAGTAAATTTTGAAAGTATTTCATCATGCCCTACTATAAATTGTCATTTGCTGTTTGTTTTTCATGTGTAGTGCTTATGCCACCAGCTTCTTCACAGTGTGTCCGCGAGATCTATGGATACGCTCTCTCATTTCCTCTGTTTGTACTGGGGGTTGTGGTGTTGACCGCTGGGTGCCTAGGGTGAAAAAGCAGGAGGTTGTCTCTATCTCTGTTTGTCATTGTGTATGTTTGTGAATGGGACTCCAGTGGGCCTGGTGCATCTCCGCGGGCTTCTTTCTGTCCCACTTTACTTAATGTGGGTCTTCTACGTCCATTTGGTATCTGTTTTCTCTCTCCCCACACCCTTGCATTATATATTAGGTGTTGTGAAGAGGTAACAACAATAGCACAATTCATGTTAAATTTTAGTTTTGTATTTATTTGATATAGTTTTTTATTTCTTTAGTCCTAATATTTCAAAATAGGTAGGTGAGATACTATGTATTTCTCACTTAAAGATAAAAACAAACTCACATAATTTGCTTTTCTACTTATATGACTCTCAATTGTTTTTTCTTAGAATTCCCATCACTGACAAATAGAATTTTTGAAAATTTTTATCAGAAGCATTTTATTATTTTTATGTCACCAAAAGTCTGCATATGATTTAACAGACTATATATAAATTTACTTTCATCCTTGAAGCAACCTGTCTCCATTAATTTCAGTGTAATATTTGGGAATGGTTTCCCATTAGATAATTTCATTATTTGCAAGATTTATTGTTATGTATGTAACGAATCAAAGCTTGGAAATGCTCTCAAAATCTTCTGGAAATTGTGACCAAGTACGGAACTGCAGTGTCCCTCATTTAAAGTAAGACTATATTTAGTAACAAGTTCTGGAGCAAATTAGTTCAGAAGCCTGTCTTCAATTTTCATTTCCAATCAATTGTGGGAACTTGAGTCATGAATATTTCAACTTCAACACCTACCCCTCTGAAGCAGGATTTTTAATAGCTTTGCTGTCTTAAATTATAGCAATCTTTACTAGGATGATTTAGTGCCACTTAAAATTTTTTTGTTTCTGAGGGCAAGTGGATCTAATCACACGGAGAGTGACCCTGCATACTTGCCAGTTTCCAGGGCCGTGTCCAGGGACTATATAATGTGACGGGGCACGGGAGCCCTGGCCGTTGGTAGTGCACACCAGACTGAAGCCCCTCCAAAGGTCGAGTCCTCCAAACCTCACAAATTTAATAACCTTCTCTTTGCATTCCTCTCCATACACAAAGGTACACAGTTTTCCAGCTTATTGATAGCAGTTTTCTTTTACTCTTTAAGACTTCACAGATTCAAAGTTATATTTTGATGCAAAGCTATTGGATCTAAGGAGAGATGTGCTTATGATTTATGATATTTTAAGAAAACTTGTTCTCAGTGAAGCTAGGATGTCATGTGAGCATTTCGGCAAATCTGGTGAAGAACTGTTACTGGTGGCCATGTCCACTGCCAATACAAAAAATAATTGTATTTTCTTAGTGAGGTGTTATCAACAGAAACTGGCCGTAAAAGTGTCTGAAGGGTCTTGTGTGGCTTTGGGCCTATAGGGTTTGAATGGGAAGTTTGTATTTCCTGTTGGATGATGCCCATATGCCTACAGGATAGCTCTCAGGTTATACCCCAGTTGTTACAGCTTAAACTAGCACTTTGTGGGACGGAGGGCGATCTTGCCAGCTGTGAGTTACCATAGCAGGATGGCAAGAAAAACCAGTGTTGTTACAGTGGTATCATAGAAGACCCCTTCACTCTTATGAAGACCTTACCTATGTATTATAGTTATCCTCTTTGCAGTAATCTATGTAAATCTGTTATATTGTTATGGGTGACTTAGAGGATGGATTTGAAGCAAGTGAAATTTTATTTTTTGTTGTGGTTTTTTAATCTTTTGTAGGGGGGTAGTAAGAGAAACTAGTCTTTCTAACCTCTGAAAGACTTCAGGATTTTAGAAATAAATAAATAACACTCTCCCACAAAACCGAATGCTGGTTTTGTCCACGGACACTGCTAGGCCAACTGTTTTTCTCCAAAGCAGCAGGAATCTTCTCCGTACCGGTTGAACCACTGCTTTTACTAACCTTCCCTGCCCACCTCATCCCTACCCTATTTCCTCCACATATCCTCTGGTTGTCACTTATTCTAGGACATTTTTGCCTGTCATCCAAAGCAGTCCTTCCCAGAAATCCTAAACAAGCCCGAAGTTTGTTACAGAGAATTTTCTGAGGGTCTTTCTACTGGGCTGCTGGACACTGATATGGCGAGAAGAAGGAGGCTCAGTTCTCCAGAGACAGTTTGGGAAATTATCTAGGCCACAGGTATACTGTCATAGAAGGCAACTATCATTGGGGGAGTGCGTCACATTTATTTATTTTGAGAACCTGCAACTTTTACAAATATGACACTTTCCCTTACCAATTTTTTCTTTCCTGTGGAGCTGAACTTGACCATGTCTTCTTTCCTCCCTTATTGCTCTCTTGTTGTCTGTTGCCATTCCCTGTTCCATGCCCCAGTCCTGATCAGCAGTGTCTGGGAGGAGCGGCGTAAGGGGAGACAGTGACACACATCCCAGCATTGTTCAGGGCCCTTGCCACTGTGCCTCCTGCCACCTCCCTCCGCCCTCGGACCTCTCCCTGCGTTGGGATGGACGCGAGCCCTGGGCTGTCTTCCCACATTTGTATGCAGCTTACTCACCTGCCCCTCACTCCCCCCTTCATGTCCCCATGTATTTATTATGCTCTGGGGTTAAGACCATAGGATTTAGCATCAGACCTCATGGATTGAACCCTAGCTTTATCATTTGTTAGCCATATGACATTGCCATGTTGTATAAGTTTCTAAGTCTGGATTCCTGGAGTCTCTTTTTCTGGAAATATAATGAGGATGAAACAGGGTAATCATTGCGAAGGGCTTGGGGGGGTTCTGGCACTTAACAAATGTTAGCTGCTAATGTTGAACTGGTGCCATGATCATCATCACAATCACAGTTACTTATTACTCATCGAATATGGATTGAGCACTTTCCATATGGCAAGTGCTGTGCTAAGAAGTGGGGATAAAGTAGAAGAGAAGACGGTACATTCTGCCCCTTTAGAGAGTATAAGTCTAAATTTATCTTTATTCCTCATTAGGTCATAGGAATCTCTCCAAGATTGCAGCCCAGAGATTTACATATTTTTCCTCCTTGGAATCCGAGACCAAAATGCTATATGAATAGTCCCATAGGAATATTATAATATATTGGCAGTTAGGTTCTCTCATACTATTGTGGTTCTATATAATGTCAAGTAAAAAGAAGGGCTTTAAAGACAAGGAAAATAAAATGTGTAGTTAGTGGTAGAGTGTATTAGATAGAACCATCCAGGAGGTGACATCTGGGCAGCAACCTGAATGATGGCAGGAGTGAGCCACACCGGTGTCTTGGGGAGCATTGTCCTGGGCAGAGAGAACAATGGCTCAGAGATCGTACAGTGTGCGTGTTTGCTTGTTGGGAGTTGGGGGCACAGCACGGAGACAGGCACGGCGGGAGCACTGCGAGGGCGGAGAAATGGAATTTAAAGAGGCCGGAGCTTGCAGAGTGTATAGAACCTCACAGGCCACGGTGAGGATGCCAGGTTCACTTTTAAGCGTGTGGGGGAAGCACTCGCAGAGTTTGATCTCTGTGGCCGACTCCGAGGGGCTGGACTGGAGTGGACCCGGCGCGGAAGCAGAGAGGTCAGTCAGGGGCCTATGGCAGCACGTGTAATCAAGTTTTCGAGAATGTGTGTTCTGCTTTCCAAACAAAAAAGACTTTTGGTTTCTAACCTGTTCATAAATTGAGGGCTAACTATATTTGTTTTTAAACTGTTAAGAAAGTAAAAATCTCAGGAAAAGATGGTTTTATTAAATATCCCTAGTTCATATTTAAGTCTCCATTAACTAGCAATATTGATAAGCAGCTCAAGGAAACGTTTCACACTTTGTAGATAAAGCTCATACCTATTATCTTTACTTAAATGTTTAGGTGTGGTTAGCATTGCAAGAAACTGAAAACTACATTGGAACATTCTTGTCTGTGTTTCTAAAACCATCAGAGGGGGAAAGAATGTCTTTACTAAATATCCCTTTTCAGCTGGAATAAACTTATCTTTATTCTAGAGCTTGTCCATGCCAGTGTTTTCACACTTCCTTTTTATTTTATCTTTTAGCACATTATCAAGTTATGGCGATTTGAAGAAAAATTCTGCTATGAACCTAAATGCTCCTCGAACCCCAGGAAAGCATGGATTGACAACCACACCTCAGCAAAAACTCTTCTCCCAGCACCCACCACAGAAGCAGGGAAATGATCCAGATCCAACTCAGGGTGTACAAACTTGTGTGGCTAACGGTGCGATGGAGGCACAAAACCGGATAGAATGCGAGGAGGATAAAGCGGCCGCTGTTGTCCCAGATACTCCTACTCAAACTTCTGAACCCTTGCTCGGTGTGAACTTAGTGAATGGAGAAGGAGACGAGAGTACCAGGGACCCTGCCTCACCCACAACAAATGACTGTGATGCAGATGCCTCTGACAGCGGCTGCAGGACTCCGAGTGCAGCTCCAGTCCGGCCCCTGGAAGAAGGAGGGGCAGACACAGAAGCCAAGGCACAGGAGAGGGAAGGTGGAGAAAGCCCTCTGGAACTGGAACAGCTGGATCAGCACCACGAGATGAAGGTAAAGTGGGAAACCAGCTCACAAGGAGAAGGAGGGAGCCCTGATCATTCCCCTACCTTTTTCGAACTGTTTCATAGCACCTGTGAAATGAGTGAGTCAGATCACCCTTGCCACCAGTTAAACAATTTTCGAGCTCTAGCTGCTAATGAGTGTTTCACCTGCTCTTCGAGGAGATAGGTCACCTTTTCTTTGTAGGTTCTAGTAATCTATTGTGACTTCAAGAGTCAGAACAATGTGAAGACTTTGATATAGGAAAACCACAAACATTGCTTTCATTTACATGGGAAGAAAATGTTCTTTGTTGCTCTAGGTGTTCGTGCTGCAACCCTCATATTTATGGGCTAAGCAAGAGAAAAGTATATAATCTTTGCTTTTCAGACATTTTTAATCTAGTAAAATAAATAGACTTGGAAGATTAACTTGTATTAGTAAATGTTTCTCGTAAGGACATGAATATGGAAGTACTCACAAATTACTCAGCAGATATCGATAACCCTTTCCAGAGTCCTATTTTTTAAAAAATTCTAATTAATACACGTTATTATAATTAGAAGACTCCTTAAAAATCATCTTAGTTCAGCAATTCATTTACAAAAGCAGAAACAATCCCAGAAAGCTGAAGTGATTTTCCAAGTTTACAATATCAACAGCCTAGACAGACCCCTTGTGCCCTGATTCCCAGGCCAGTATTGTGTCCCTGATGCAAGAAGTCACAAATATAAATGCCAACATGTGGGAAATGTCATGAATGCAGCAGCTGTGAGCAATATAGTAAAGGGAGGAGAGACTGTGGCAAACTGGAAGCTCATATCCTCTCCAAAGAGGACAGTAGTTCAGTGAACCACCTGAATAGCACTTCTGCCCATGTGCAAACAGAGTTCATCTGGTGAAATGGTCATAATTTGCCTGCACTGCAACAGAAACTTGCAGACAATTCCGGTGATGAGCCGATTGCATTTGTGTTCTTTATTCAGGTCAGCATACTGCTTTGGAAATATTATTAAATAATGGTTTTTACAAAGTACTTGGGACTCCTTGGATCAAAGATGCATAGAACATTGTTGACATCTCTGATGACAAGAAAAAAGTTTCCATGGCTTCGTCTTCTCTTAATAGTTTCTCTTAGTCTCTCCTTTACACTCTCATACATAATCTGTGTAGGAGAGCTGAGAATTGAAAACTTGATAATTATAGGAATTTTGTAAGAAACAAATCCAAGTCCTAAATCTATGTACTTTATTTTTTTTAATGGTGCTGTGTCTTCACATGGGCAGAAATTCAAAAGGACAGATACTAAAATATTAAGTAAAAAGTGATTGATGGATGTATTTAGAACTTTAAAGCAAAATCCACCTTCTGGTACAATTTTCACTGCTCCTAAAAAAAATTCCAAAACAGAATCAATGGTTTGTTTTCTTGAGGTTATAAAATTAATTTTAAATGCTGACTTTCAAGCAGTGAAAGTTCAAAAAAGGAAGTGGGTGGGAGAAAGTGAGTCATGCTTGGTAACATCTGAAATATTAAAGAAACCGGACATTGCAAAGTGAATCTCTTAACATCTTGATAGTGTAAGGTTTAGTGTCTCTCTGCTTGAACGATGAAGAGAAGAGAAGGTTAGAACCAAGAGCCTCAAAAATCAGACCTCTGTCCTTATACCGTTGGAATGATGCCACCAGCAAGTATTTATAAGACAGTAAGAGCCGTTCTTATTAAGGGAAATACTTTCGTTGGTAATGATGTCTGTGGTTACTGGGTACTACTTTTTTAGCCCATGTATTATTATGTATACATTTTCAGAGATGTCTTACTTGGGTTTGGAGGCTAATAGGGCTTCCTTATTAAACTAGTGAAATCTAGAATAGTACAGCTGGCTCTTCTCCTAAATGGGAATTTAAGTAATGGATGGTATATACTATATGTGGGAAGAAAAAAAGTTTTTCTTTTTTTCCTGCAGAGCTGTTGATCTAAACATCACATGTGTTTCCCATCTGAAACAGATTATTAGGATTTAATTTCTAATGCTCCTTTTCAGATGGGAGACACGTGGTGATATATTCTCCTTCTCAGCTCTGATACTTGTTGCATTGCCTTTCCTTGTTCTAAAGTGCAAACAGAAATGTTAGTAGTGTTAAAATGGTAATTTTTATATTATGTACATTTTACCACAGTTTAAAAAAATCTTAAAAAGTACAAAATTTAATAGTATATAATGAACAAAATGATTGGAACCACGAAATTTCAATGTTGCTTCTGACTTGTCCATTAACAGTACAAATGTCAACAAGTCAATACTTTGTGCCTTTAATTAAAGGACACAAACTGAGCATGATCGTAAGGCCCTTATCAGTGATACTATCATAATTCTATGCTGTTTTATCTAGATATGTTCCTCTGTTAGCATAGCCCTCCAGATTATCAGCTGCTTCTTAAACTGTCTAATGTGTTGAACTTCAAGACATAATGGAATATTTGAGTCTCACTATGTAGACAACTGAAAAAAAATTTGTTCACTCTTTATGTGATTCAATTAAGAGATTTACATCAGAATAGTCTTAAAGAAGTTTCACTTATACCAGAATTAAAATTAATGGACACTTACTAAGTGCGCACCGGGAGTGTGAGAATGGGGGGTTGGGGGCTGGGAATCGGAGTAGAATAGAATCACAAAGAGTCCATGAAATGCATCTTAAACAATCACGATTAATCATTGAGAACTGACTTTAAAATAGTCTCAGCTTATGTAAGTGCTTCATTAATTATCTGATGTATTTTGATCAAGAATCACTTTCAGTGGTAAATAGATAATACTGCTATTTTTACCATGTAAAAGATAAAAGACTGTCTACCCTTGTGAAACTGTTGACTCTACCATAAACAGATTTTTTTTTTAAACCTCAGAACCAAAGGAAAATTGTTAACTCTTTGTGGTACCTTTATCTGTCACCCACAAGGTGTTAGAGTATCCTTAAGTTAAGGTTAATCAGGTATTGTGGCTGATTAAAAGGTTGACGTCTACCTAATATGAGATATTATTATAAGGAAACATTAAAACCCATAAGTTCCAGGGAAAGTAGAGGCAAAGGAATATCACGTGTGTACATGTGCCACCCACAGGCATGCACACTTGAGGAGGCTGGGGTGGGGGTTGTAATAGTATTAGAATTTCTGTTTGGCATGACAAATTTGGGTTATCATAAGTAGCTTAAATTATATTAGGAGACTCACGCAAATGGGTCGGTACATTTTAGAATGAATTTTATTAAAAATGGTCCCGTTTTCTCAGATTTGTAGGCTTTGGTGTGTAAGGTTTTGTAGAAATGCACTGAAGTGAAGTGCTGCATTCATAAGTTATGCTGCATAAATGTAAACTTCTCTTTAGTTTTCATGAGCCTTTTAATATCCAGTATATACTTTAATGTGTTATATTGGTAGAGTTTTCTGAGGTTTGTTGTCTTCCCCTATATTTCATACAGTGAGCCAAATATAAATTGTGTGGATATACGCTTTTTAAGAATAAAGTTTAAGTAAATAACGAATCTCTGTTACTGGCAACATAAACTCAAAGTAGCACTGTATTAAACCTCTAATAATGACAGTTTTATCAAGGCTGTAACAAACAGGTTTTTTTAAAAAAAGAAATAAGAGTAGTATTATCATGTAGAGTTAAAATATCTACTAGGGTGATTTCCCACCTGATAAAATATAATACCATAATGAATTTAGATATTTTCCTCAATATAAGTACATTTTCCCCCAGAGTCTCTAATTTCTTGTCTTTCTTTCTTTCTCCACAACCCCCAGGAAGGTGTGGAATTCTTCAACTAAATTAACTGTGTATAAGCAACATCTCCCTTTTTAAAACTGCATCCCTGGGCCAAAACTCCTTTAAAGTATACATTGCCCTAGGATTGTTGGCTTTTACCTTAATCTCAAAGACTTCTTTCTAAACTCGCATCAGTGATCATGCTGAGTGAACTGCATTGTCCTCAGTTCATCACCTACAGGAAGGGGGAGGATTTCGTTGGTACTGTCTGGCTTTGACTTCATGACTAGAGGGGAACTAGTACCAGGTCAGATCCTAGACTACAGCTGCTGGGCAGCGTTATTGCATTGATCATGGCCTCCTTCTCCTCCTCCTCCTCCTCCTTCTTCTACATTTTTTTGGGGTGGGGGGGACTCATTACCGAGTGTGGTGGCAGACAGCATGTGTCTCAGTGAAACCAAAGGCATGTGACAAGCTAGTGTCAGTCGTGCCACACCATACTTCTAATGCAGTCTGTGTTGTTCTCTGTGGGGCGGGGGGCGCTTCGGCCTCTCCCCCATGTTGTAGGTTTCCCTCAGTGGCTTCTTCTTCTTGAATAAATGTTAGCTGTGCTTGAGGGGGGAGTGAAGTCAAGTACAATCTGTAACCACGTTGTTTATGTCATTCTCTAAAAATAAAATTTTAATAAGCTAATCCACTTATTTCCTGGTTATTTCTGGGTTCTTAATTATCATTTTTATTTATTATGTTATTACATAAACCTTGAGGGTTTATAACTCTTGAACATACTCAAATAAAAATTAGGAAGATAGTTATCTCCTAAGGAAAAGAATGACAGAGAATCAAATTCAGAAGCAAATTGTGGATAGAATATCAATGCTATAATTCAAATTAACTCATTTTTCCTCTTTTTCTATTAATGTCTCTCCACTGAGTTTAAGTGTAATCCTTAAAATTGTTGATTAATTTATAGGATATATAATGTGAAGTATCAAAGTTTTCTGGGAGTCAAAACAATGCTTATATTGGTTATCCATAAGCAACAAGTGTTGTTTTAGTTTTGGTAAAGCTTTAAATTTCTTTCACTTCTTGAAAAATAAGGAAGACAACTGCTGGGGTCTTGTTAGATTTGAAGACAGAGTAAGTCACTCCTTAGCCATTCCTTCTCTTGGCAAACCAGCTTTCATTCCAAGCCAGTGAAAGTGCCTCAAAAAAATTACCCAGCTTGGCCGATCAG